CCTGGATTAGCTGGGTGGTTCTGTCCCCTACTCTCGCTGCAGGGATTGCAGCTTCAGAGTTTCACCCCAGGCCTGTATGCCAGGCCTGAGCTGCTGCATCTGAAGGGGACAAGGGAGCATAGGGGAGAGGGGAAACTCTTGCACATGCTCGCCGGGCTTGGGCTAGGACTGGATCTGGGGGTCCCGAGAATGTGGCAGAAGTTCTCACTTGGCGGGTGTGGGGTGGGGGGCTGTGGAGTGGGGCGGGGGTCCCAAGGGCACAGAAAAGGGTTTCACTCACGCTGCGTGCGTGGGTTTGGACTAGACAGGTCCCGTGTGTACAGGGTAGCCGGAAGCTCTCCCACACACCACCAGGCCTGGGCTAGGGCTGGATCTTGGCTGACTTTTCGGGCTCCTCTGAGTAGATCAGTCAGCTACTTGCATGTGAAAGCTGCCGTGACTTCCCCCGTCCCATACCCTTTCTGTTGCCGGTTGCTCTGGCTGATGTTCAAGGACCGTGCTCAGCAGAGGTAGTGCTGCTAGTGGACATCTTTGTTTTGTTCATGATTTTAGAGAACAAGCCCCACGTAATATGATGTTGGAAGTAGGTTGATCATAAGTGACTTTTCTCAGGTAAGTTCCTTCTGTACCTATTTTTTTTTAATTTTTAAAAAAATCTTTGTTTATTTGGTACAGGGACTCACTCTGTGGCTCAGAATCATAGTGTTCCTCCTGTCCAGTGTCCTCAGCACTGAGGTTACAGGTGTGCACCACCGCCCCTGGCTTTGGGGCCAGCTTGGCGCACCCTCAGTTAGCGGGCTGACATGGCACATGGCACCAGGGATCCAACCCAAGTCCTTACACTTGACAGGCAAGCGCTTAGACTGCCAAGCTATCTCCCCAGCCTCCCTCTGTTCCTATTTTCATGTTTTTGTTTTGTTTTTTATAAGGAGTGGATATTAGACTTTGTCAGGGGTCTTTGTGCATCTGTTGAGATGGTCATGTGATTTTTGTCTTTGCTTCTGCCTGTGTCGTCAGTTACACTCACTGGTTTGCACGTGC